GCTAAGTTATTTATTTAACAAATTTTTAATTTATTTCACTCATTTTCTTCATTTTTTGATTTATTTTACTCATTTTTTTATTTATTTCAACCATTTATTTATTTATTTAATTTTGGCTAAAACGGCTCTCCATACTCCAGGACCAGGATTGCCCACCCCTGCTCTAATGAATAAAAACCGTCACACAGAAGGAGAGTCACTGAGAGTATAAAGCTCTGTGGCAAAATCTAACACGAGACGGCTTTCCTTCAATGTTCAAGAAAATGATGAAACATAAATTAAATCTATTGCTACAAAATGTAATGGTTTTAGATGACTCTCTTTTTTATTTAGACAATATTGATCGAACTTGCAACGTTATTTGCGATTAGGGCTACTCAATTCTAAATTTAGAAAAAAAATCCACACTTCATTTAAAGAAATTAGTAAAACCCCTAAAGTGCAAAGGAGAAATTTAGGTGCACAATTAGCGCCTTTGCTCTTTAGGGGACTAGTGCCCACCACTGGTTATGTATGTCTGTGATGCAGACGACTGATGTGGCATTTTATAGAAACATGTCTGTCTATCCTTGTCTTTGTCAATCACTTTAAAAGCTTCTTGTTACGGTCTGCAGGAAGAGTCACCTCAAAGTAGAATCTGGTTTTACTTTATTAGAAATCATCAGGAATTGGCCAGTGCACATATTGTAATCTCACAAAGCACTGCCATCTGTTAGCACCCAGAATTTGGCATTCACTTGTGGTGGGTGATATGCATTCCTTTAAAGATWGCTAGTTCCTAAAGTTCATATAGGTGGATTTACACTGGCCACAGAGATCTCAGAATCTTTTTTTTTACTTCACATAAATTTAAACTGGTCCCAAAATACACAAAACAGAAACTTGAGATTTGTTCACAGATTAATGGAGCTCTCTGTTTGCAAAGAAAACATGAAGTAAAAGAGAAATTTCACCTCCAACCTGTYTAGAAGTTCAACTAAATGCCCGTTTCTTATTTTTAATTGGTTCAGCAGAGATGAGGTCATCTCAACAGGTAAACGGTTTGCGATTTTCTAAAAATCAACTCATCAGGATATTTACTGTCGGTGGTTTTAGGGTCTGGAGCACGAGGCCTGTTATTCACATCATAACCTGCCCAGGAGTAGGTTGGAGCAGGTGAACCTTCCGCAGAAGCACAGGTGAGGTTGATGTTCTGACCGTACTCCGCTTTACCCTGGATCTTACAGATGGGTGTAGAGGGAGCCACTTTAAAAAAAACAGGAGAGAACAATGTGTAAACAAACTTGCAGTGTTTTTCGGATTTATTCAAAGTGCACAGAAATATTATTTATTATAAGCAACGTATTACTTACGTTTTCCTTTTAATTATAATTTTTACCAGGTCTAAATAACAAAACAAGATAATCTCGTAATAAACTCAGACACTCTGAAGCTCTGATGCTGGACAGAAACACTCAGAACATTAGAGTGAAACACCTTTGTTTTGTTTTTTCCAATTATTCTGTTTTTAATAAGAACCGTTGTTCACATTAATGAACAAAGTTGTAGATAACAGCTTGTGTAAAGAGTGCGGTGTGGTTTCACCTCGAAGAAAGCAGGGGTCTCTGCAGTACATGTCCTGTGGGCAGAGTTGGCCCTACATGTGATTGACAGAGGTCTTGATGTGGGCGGACAGTGACTGACGGAGGTCTTGATGTGGGCGGAGCTGGCCCTAATCGTGATTGACGGAGGTCTTGATGTGGGCGGAGTTGTCCCTAACAACTATTGACGGAGGTCTTGTTGTGGGCGGAGTTGGCCCTAACAATGATTGACGGAGGTCTTGATGTGGGCGGACAGTGATTGACGGAGGTCTTGATGTAGGCGGAGTTGGCCCTAACAGTGATTGACGGAGGTCTTGATGTAGGCGGAGCTGGCCCTAACAGTGATTGACGGAGGTCTTGATTGGGTGGACAGTGATTGACGGAGGTCTTGATGTAGGCGGAGCTGGCCCTACCCGTGATTGGAAGAGGTCTTTATGTGGGCGGAGTTTTCTCTAACAGTGATCGGTCAGATAGTCTTACAACTTAAAAGAGGAAGTAATGATAACAGAAAAATAAAATGATTTATTGCCTGCCTATGTACAGTTTAAAACAGAACAATGACTCAAATAAAAATTGTAAACATGTAAACATAATTTGACTTCAAATTTCATGCAGCAAGCACCTTCCTGTCTCAAATTATGACAAGCATTCATAATAAAATTGATTTTTAGCTGTCGTTTTCCAGGTTGGTTAGAGATGTTTTGACTGAGCCAAATTGTTACGTCCCTCCACATGTACAGCGTTCAAATTTAGTGAAGTTAGCACCTTCCTCTCACAAGTTATGACTAAAATTAATCTCTATATTTAAAAAATTTAAGTGCGTCCTGCCCGATTCAATCAAGCTGCTCCCCAGTTTCTTCAAACCCCACCGTTAATCTGACCACATATTGGGCCAGCTACGCCCACAAAATAACTCCTACTTTGTGACTGCAGAGACCCCACTTCTAACTAAAAGTTACCTAGAACAACCAGTCGTGTCTTGGCAGCTGGCTGGCCCTTTGAATCTTTCGGAATCATGACTTTACACTCAAACTCTCTGTTGTCATTTAGAGAGATTGAGTTCAGCTTCAGGTTAGCTTTTCCAGTAGCCATATCCAAATCCAGAAATGCTCTGCCGTCATAGTTTGGTGAGACATCACTTTCTGTAGTGGAACTGTAGTAGGTGAGGACGTCGTCCTGTTGAGAACATTTATGTTAGAGGAATACAAACATCCTGTAGATACATGCAGTACGTGTGAATACTCACATCTAAAGCACCTTCAACCTGAGCCAGAGCGATCCAGGTGATGATGACCTGTGAAGGGGTGGCTATGCTGCTTTTAAAGGTGCAGGGCAYAGTGATGTTGTCTCCTCTGGCATACTCGTACTGAGCCTGAGGGATGGTCACAGTGATGGCAGCCACACCAGACCACACTGAGGAGAATAAAAATACAATAAAATAAAATCAGCCACTCCCAGTTTTATCCAGATATGTTTTACTGACTAAAATAATGACTAATGATTAAGCTGACAGCGTTCTTCAGGCCTTCTAAATGGTTATGCAGCTCAACTGGAGCCAACTGCTGTCTGGGGCCTGTAGAGTCTGATCTTTGACCTACTGACTAAGTCCTGATCCTCTGGTATTTAATAAAAATGACTGTGGATTTTAGCTTTTGTTGTGGGTTTGAATCATTTTAAAATCTGACAAAGTTCAGATCAGTTTGGTAAACAGATGGACTTTATTTCTATTATGACTCTACATCTCCATCTTCTGCCACTTATCCGTAGTTGGGTCGTGGAGGCAACAGGTCCAGGAGAGAAACCCAGACATCCTTCTCCCAAGGCATTCCCAGGCCAGAGAGGATATATAATCCCTCCAGCAAGCACCTGGTCTTCCTATCAGTGGGACGTGCCCAGAACACCTCTAAAGGAAGGTGTCAGGAGGCATCCTGATCAGATGAACCACCTCAACTTGCTCCTTTCGATGTGGAGGAGCAGCGACTCTACTCTGAGCTCCCTCCGGATGACTGAGCTCCTCATCCTCTCTCTATGGCTGAGCCAGGCCACCCTACAAAGGAAGGTCATTTCTGCTGCTTGTATCTGGGATCTCGTTTTTTTGGTCATGATCTATGCCCCGTGACCACAGGTGAGGGTTGGTACAAAGACAGACCAGTAAATCCAGAGCTTTGCTTTCCAACTCAGCCCTGTCTTCACCACGACTGACCGAAGCCATGCCCTCATTACAGAGAACGAGGCCCCAATCCACTGATCCATCTCTTGATCCATCCTACCATCACTCGTGAACAAGACACCCAATGCTTAAACTCCCCCGACATGAAGGGGACATTCCACCCTTCTCCAGTTGAGAACCATGACCTCAGACTCAGAGGAACTGACTCTCATCCCAGACATAAACCGCCCCAGTGCACCCTGAAGGTCTTGGTCCAAAGACGCCAACCGAACCACATCATCTGCATACAGCAGAGGTGAGACCCTGTAGTTCCCAAACCAGATACCCTCCCCTCCATGACTGTTCCTTGAGATTCTGTCCATACATACTACAAACAGGATTAGAGATGAGGGACTTCCCTGGAGTCCAACCTGCGTTAAAATCAAGCTCGACTTTGTGCCAACAATGCAAACACAGCTCCTGCTTTGGTTATATAGGGACTGGATCACTCTCAGTAGCAACTCAGGCACTCCATACTCCAACAGACCCCCCACAGAATGCCTTGAGGAACACGGTCACAAGTCTTCTCCAAGTCTGCAAAACACATGTAGACCTTAGAGGCAAACTCCCACGACCCCCTTAACAATTCTGCAAGGGTAAAGAWCTGGTCCACTGTTCCATGCCCGGGACGAAAGCCACACTGATCCTCTTGAATCCGAGGTTTGACAATCGATCGGAGCCTCCCTTCCAACACCCTGCAGTAAACATTTCCTGGGGAGGATGAAAAGTGTGATCCCACGATAGTTAACACACTCTCTGGTCCCCTTTTTTTAAAAATGGGAACCACCACCCCAGTGTGCAACTCCACAGGAGCTGTCCCAGTCCTCCATAATGTTGAAAAGACATGTCAACAATGACAGCCCCACAACATCCAGAACTTTCTGCATCTCGGCATGAATCCCATCCACCCCTGGCGCTCTCTGTCATGGCAATGGACTCATCCCCCCCCCACCCCCCCGAGTCTTCAGACTCTGCGTCCTCAAAGATGGACTTGGAGGGTGGATTCAGGAGATCCTTCAAGTGTTCCTTCCATCACCCAGTGATATCCTCAGTCCTAGTCAGCAGTTCCCCACCCAAGCCAAGTACAGCCTGGGACAGGGAACGCTTTCCTTTTGTGAGTCGCCACATGGTTTGCCAGAAACTCCTAGAGGCCAAACAAAAGTCCTTCTTCATGGCCTCCCCGAATTCCTCCCATGCTCGATTTTTTGCATCGGCAACCACCAAAGCTGTAACTCTTTGCCACCCTGTACCTGTCAGCTGCTTCTAGATTCCTCTGGGAAAACCAAGTTCAGAAGGCCTCCTTCTTCAGCCTGAAGACCTCCATCACCGCTGTTGTCCACCAGTGGGTCCTTTGGTTGCCACCGCGACAGGCACCGATAAACTTCAGGCCACAGTTCCTGGAAGCTGCATTTGCAATGGAGGCCCTAAACGTGGCCCATTCGGATTCCAAATATATTCTGTACTCCGCCAAACGGTCCCAGTTCACCCTCACTATATGTTTGGGTTTAAAAGGTCTGTCCAGCAGCCCCCCCCCCACTGGATCCAACTCACCACCAGGTGGTGATCAGCTGACATTTCTGGAAGCTGCATTTGCAATGGAGGCCCTAAACGTGGCCCATTCGGATTCCAAATATATTCTGTACTCTGCCAAATGTTCCCAGTTCACCCTCACTATATGTTTGGGTTTACCAGGTCTGTCCGGCAGCCTCCCCCGCCACCGGATCCAACTCACCACCAGGTGGTGATCAGTTGACAGCTCTGCCCCTCTCTTCACTCGAGTGTCCAAGACATAGGGCTGCAGGTCAGATGACACGATTACAAAATTGATCATCGACCTTTGGCCAAAGGTGGCCTGGCACCAAGTACACTTATGGACCACCCTACGCTCAAACATGGTGTTCGTTATGGACAACCCATGCTTAGCACAGAAGTTCAATAACAGCACCATTCAGGTTCAGATCAGGGAGGCCATTCCTCCCAATCACCCTCTTCCAGATAACTATCATTGCCCCCCTGGGCATTGAAGTCACCCAGCAGAACGAGGGCATCTCCAGATGGCACCCCTTCCAGGACACCATCCAAAGACTCCTAAAGGGCTGGGTAATCTGAACTGATGTTTGGTCCATAAGCACAAACAACAGTCAGACCCCCCAGCCAAGTCTAATGGTTCCCTATCCTGGGCAAGGTTTCCTATGCAAATGATGTTTCATTTCATCAAGGGTTCTGAATCGCTCCAAGTCTGACCCCTCCCCTGAGGCCTGTTTTCCAAGGGAGACCCTAACAGGGTCCAATGCCCCAGGCACCATAACGATCACGGGGTCAACCCCTCCACGAGTCTATAAAGGGTAGATGGAGCTCAGCTCCACCTAAAACAAAATTCATCCGCCCCACAAAGTAGACACTTCCTCCTAATGTAAACTATTTACTCAGCTTGCCATTTTTGTTTCATTCAGTGGGTTTTTTCAACAATTTTGACAGTTTTAAATACAATTTAAAATGGGTTTTAGGGATTAATTCTGTTTTTTACTTGTTTGTCAGATGCCCCGAGTTTGTAAGTGGATTTGTCATGTAAATAAATATATACTCCTCTGTCTGCAATAATCAGTACCGTCAACTCCTCATTGGGGCGTTAAATTCCGCCCTGTGGACTCTTTCTGTTGGTTTTAGTGCACCGGTATGAACGTGAGCTCAAAAATGCAGAAATAGTGTTCAGTAAAGCTTGTGTCTGACAGAGGAGATAACTCTGTTTTGGAGCAGAACTGAACATAAAAAGGGAAATCTGAGGCCTACTTGAAACCATTTGTCTCAGTTTGAGTCTTGCATAAGGCCTCAGAGTTAAAATGCATGTTCACTCATTTGTTTGTCAAAATAACAGAACTATTACTCAATGTATTTGTCAAAATTAATTTAGAAATCCAAAAAGCTGATATTAAAAATGTCAAAGCAATGTGTTTAAGAGAATGATAGAAGTTGAAAAAATATGAAATATAATGTGTATCTGTTTGAATTGTTGCTTGAGAAGGAGTTGATGTTTTTGTTATTTGTAGATTATTATTGTTTGAATTTATTTTTTGGAAAAAAGGAGAAGTTAAGATTTTTTTCCTTTCTGTTGCCTTTCACGTTATTTGTTTTTTATTAAAATCTATTTATTATAATTTTTAATGAATAAACTTCTGAAATTAAATGGAAAAGAAATTCAAAAGTTGTGTATCTGATTCATTTTAACGAAAATTAAAGTATTTCAGGTTGGTGTGATTAGGTTTCTCTGTTATAATATTATACCAGACATTTTTCATGAGACAAAACCTGCACAGTGGGAGAAATAAAAGACAAAACCTGATTAAATAAGTTGACCAACATCTTTAACATTCATGTTTATATTAATTCAGAAAATTTTTGTTAATGTTAAAAATACAAAAGACCTGTCAGAAAAAAAAATCATAATTCCTGTTTTCCAGTCCACTGAAAAGAGAAGTGTTCTTTAAAATATCTTTTAACAAGTCAAATAAGATTAATCTGAATTATTACCAAACATGTTTATAATCCTGCTGCTTTTTGTATTTGAGTTTGGGTCAGCTGTTTTAAATTAAAACATGTCAGCCTGGCCTTTTTTATTGAATTATCAGGTTTTTTTTAATTGGCCATTTATTGTTTAGACAAACTCAACTTTGGCTTTAAATTACATATATTTTTCTGTTAAAATAATTCATTAAATGAAGTTCAGGACTGAAGCCATGGTCTTTTTCTGTTCCTGCTTTGAACAAATGAAGCTGAAGCTGTGTTAACAGGTGTGGCCGCTCCTTTACAGCCAGAGGGAAAAAATAAATATTATTTCCATAAAGAATTAAAAAGCAAACTCACCTGCACTCAGCAGGACCAGGGTCCAAACCATCTTCTCCWCCAGGTCGGTTTTTATTTAATCCAATATTCTGGTTCTGTTTGAACCTAAAGAGGAGCGGAGGACCTGATGATGAGCTTTATGTTTCAGTGTCGACAAATCGCGGAAGTGCTGAAGCGCGTGCCCAAACCTGTGGTTATGGTAAAGGCAGTGACGTCACCGACAACAGAAACCTTGGAATCAGAGGAAAAGGGTTCGAGTTTTACCGCGTTTCACTAAGTGTTGGAGTTTCATCAGGAGTAACAAGGGTTTGCACAGAATGGTTTTTTACCTGTTATAATAAAATGTGTTACAAAATTATCTGTTTTAAATGACTAAAACCTTTTTTTATTTCTTACTTTTCTTTTGTTTCGTGACTTTTCGGGCTCATAAACTGACAGTTTCAAAGTGTTTAAGCTGCTAACAGAAGTTGTTAATGTTGGATTCATCATCAGGTCAGAAGTGCTCCTTTCCACTGAAACCTGAAGCTGAGCCGCTCCCAGATGATTGACGGGCCTCAGGGGCCAATCAGCGCTCAGCCTGCTCCTCAGGTAACATTCTTGTCCCGCCCACTTCACGTGTTTCTGCTTGTCCTGTCATCCAGCAGCAGCCGGGCTGGGAGTCAGYGAGTCTCCCAAAAAAACAGATTTCCAAGGATTAGTCGGTGACAAGAGAGCAAGACATTTAATTTTGTTATTTTAATTAATAATAAATCAAATTAAATCTGTAAAAATCTGATGGTTTTATATGAACACTGCTTCTTTTGAACAGGAACGTTTTGTTTTGTTTTATTTTTCTTTCTGTGATTAAGAATCAGTTTTCAGTTGTGAAAGACAAACAGATTATAAATGTTGKTGAATCCAAACCTCAGACTGAGCTGAAGGTTTCACAGGATCAGATCTTCCTGTCAAACCGGTTTAACTCAACTTCATCAACTGACTCCGAGCAGAAACAGGAAAACAGGAAGTGACCATATTAGGTAATCAGGTGCTCTGCCACGAGCAGCCAATCAGCTCTGTTTGTTTAAAGTTTCTGTTCAAAAAGAAACACGATGCAGGAGATGAAAAATGTTTAAAGTTTCTGTCATCAGGCGGAGCGTTGGGTTCAAAGGGATCGTAAAGTGGTGGCCCGTGGGCCAAAACCAGGACAGTGATGGATCAAAACATGTGCAAATAAACAAACACCAAAGTGCCACAAAACAGAGTTAAGACATTTTACGTTTATTTTTACAGCACAAAGAAGAAAAATTAAATGAAAGCACAGCTGAAAACAGCTAAAATCTGCTGAACAATAATGGAAAATTTGGGTAAAAGCTGGAAATAAATGGTTAAACCCTAAACCTAAATAAGCAGAACAGCAGCTAAAAGCTAAATATGGCAAACGCCTTCAAAAAAGACAAGAGTCGCTATAAATAAAAAAATGCCAGCTTGAAGATAAAATTAGCTAAATGTTAACCAAAAACTAAAAGTAGTAAAATCATAGCTAAAAGCGAAATTAAGCAAGAAGCTGTATTTTACTATAATTACCTTTTATACTCCTAATTATTGTGTTGCCTTTTTTAGTAAGTGTTTAGCAATTTTACACTACTGTTGTGCCTTCTCCGGGTCAGGGGGGTCGCCCTGTCTCAAGTGAAGGAGTTTAAGTATCTGGGGATCTTGTTCACGAATGGGGGAAGAACGGAGCGGGAGATCGACAGGCGGATTGGCGCAGCGTCTGCTGTAAAGCGGCTGCTGTAAAGCGGGCGCTGTACA